TTCAACTTATTTGTTATATATATATCTCCGGACAAAAACAACTCATAAAATAGAAATAACAAGTTTTTCATAATACTGAATATCTTTTAATGAGCAATTAAGTATACTAATACCTATAATAAAATAATATAAGTAGCTTAGGAGCCGAATTCATGCAGAACTCAATCTCCTGCATCACATATCCATCCCATAACAACAAATTTTGCCGCATGATTTTTCTTTCCATAAAAAGCGACTCATTCATGATTGTCCATAGATGAAAAATAGAAAGAATCTCATTAAATGTTCCAATCAAAAAATATAAATTTCTCATATGAACTAAAAGTATTTAAGATTTTTCGGAGAAAAAAAATATTATTTAAAAGCATATTGCATAAGCAAGCTCCAAAGAAGTGTTGTTATAGTGCAAAACCCCGATGCAGCTAGCTAGGTCAAAAGGAAAACATATCAGATATTTTTTATAAAATAATAAACTAATATAGCACATCAAAAGACAGAATTAAGTTGCCTTACCAACTATGGAAAGAAGACTGAGTATTCATGCACAGAAGCTAGGAAACTAATACTTCTTATGACACTTGTCAATAACTTTACATATGCTGAGCTAACCAAAAATTAAATATTATATCGCCAACAAGATGTTAAGAAAGCTTCTTCTTTCTCTATTTTTCTTGATTCAATATTGTTCTTCTTTGAAAAAGCCTAAAATCTGTTTGTTATGAGCCTTATTCTCATTACAGAGGGTATAATATTTTTGTTATGGTTCATCTCCTTCTAAAAATTATTTTTTCATTTTCATGCAATTCCTCTCTTTTCTTTTTCTATTTTTCTTGATTCAATATTGTTCTTCTCTAAAAAAGCCTAAAATCTATTTGTTATGAGCCTTATTTTCATTACAGAGGGTATAATATTTTTGTTATGGTTCATCACCTTCTAAAAAATATTTTTTTTCATTTTCATGCAATTCCTCTCCTTTTCTTCCTAATTCATTGTGGCTATTCCTCTTCTTATTACATTTTCCAAAATACTAAAACTCATGCATATGGCAAGAAATGTAACATTATTTTGCTCTTATCTGGATTGCCTTGTAATACTAGTACATAACACTTAAGACTTTTCATTGATACAAATATATAAAATTAATAACCTAAGTTATGCAAAAACTCTTCTTCTTTTTTCTTGAAGGGCAGGGGCTTAGGGGTTCAGCCTCACCGCGGACGCCTCACTTACGGTCATTTCATCTCATGGCCTTCAAATGGTGCCTATTATCTTTAATAAGCGTGAAGAATGAAATCGCATACCTTTATATTTATCTTATTAGATTAAATCTTATGTTGCACACCAAACATCAAGTACTAGCTTGATGAATGATACATATACTATATCTTTCTTTAGTTTCCACAATCATATGAAATTGCATAAAATAAAATGTATAAATTTGGCAGAACCACTTGTAATTGAAAAAAATGAAAAATATGCATTTGAAACAATCATATGTAGTTGAAAAAATAAGAATTATTTACTAAGTATACAACCTTAACTTCCAATCAAAGAAAGTGGTTGTAATGGCACGCAATCAAAATCTCCATTTGACAGCTTAACTTTGTTAATATTTTTTAATCTTCTAAAATAAAGTGATCTTCAATTATTTGTTCTTGTTTTTTTTCTTTTTCCCCAAACTGTTTTAACATAACATTTTATTTTATGGTGATATTATCTTCAGCAATAAATCTATTTGGCTAAATCTAAAAACGGTTTCTAGCAGCTAAAACCATCCATTATAGATAAAAAAATTAATATCAAAATTTAAAAGTTGTCTAATTTCTAATTTCATTTTTACAATTTCTTCATCTAGCTCTGCAACCTAAATTGATCTACCATGTTCTAAGTATGTGCCACCAACCTTAGCCTTCAATATAAATTGCCAGCCCTCAGCTCTTGTAATGCCCTCAAATACAAAATTAATCAACTTAGCCCCCTCAAAACTCCTCCCAATAACATCTCCACTCAATCCCATACAAGCCTAGATTCACTACCTACAACCCTCTTCCAACATACAAGCCAATCTCTTCATCTCCTCTTAAAACAAATTCGTTAATAAAAATTATTACTCTGTCCTCCAATCATCTACTAGTGAGCTCCCAAAGGGCTTCCCTCAGTTCCTTCACACCACCTCAACCTTTCTATCTCCATAGCACAATTGACACCCCAGCTACTCCCATCTCTCTCAAGTTTCTCTTTCTCCTAGAGAAGTTCCAAGTATTTGCTATCGTGTTGGGTTAAAGTTGGAATGAGAACTATTTAATATATATATATATATATATATATATATGTGTGTGTGTGTGCGCGCTGTTGTGGCAATGTTGTCGTTTCAAATACTGAAATTTTGACTTATTCATCTAACACATGAAAATCTACCTTCAACAATTAAAAGTTTAAATATTTGAAGATATCTCAATGAGGTTAGTCACTGCCATAAACTTCTATTGCTAAAAAAATCAATTTATTTTGCAGTTCACTTTTATAAAAAGGTAAGCAATAGAAGTTTTAACTAGGTTAATTTGCTAAAATGACAAATAAACTCTCATTAGGAAAGTGAAAATTTTGTCACTTCAGGATTAAGATTAACTTTTCCTGTTCCCGACAGATTCTAAAATAAATCATTCTTTATCAGAAAAAAGTTTAAACTAGGTCATTTAGGCATATGATTAGCTAAAATGGGATACCTCAACCTAAGGTCATCTTCATACCATGGCATTTAATCAAAGAACACCTTGATGCACTGCCCTTTTACCAAAGAAATATCTTTATTACAATCAGATAGCATGTAAAATAGATTTCACAGAAAGATAAACTTTGACCTCAAGACTGAGAGCCAACACTAACAGTTACTTTCAATCTTTCTTTGCCCAAAACCCAATTTTTATTTAATAGTTTTAGGCAGCTTGATGGCAAAAATCTCGTAATTAACTTCTAAAAAGCTATAGGATAAAAACAACTAAATAGCTTTAGGGGACATAAAGAAGTTGTTTCATTCAATAAACCGCCTTAAAATGCAAAGTAAATCCGTTTAGAGATTAGGTTGAGCTCCAGGGACCTCCATTCCTTGTTCCAAAATAACTTCAACATTTAAACAGCATTCAGACTTGCATAGAAGCTAGTTTACCATCTAATTTACCAAGTTCTCGCACATCATTCATGCCAATAGTATGCCTGCACGAAGCATTCCGTGCGTAAAGCATGTAAGAATACTTTTAGTGAGGCGTAGAAGGTCAATGAAAAATATAGGAAGGCACAATCAGTACCAAATGGCATTAGACTTTCCCTTAGTCTGACCATACATAATACAAAATGTGCAAACTAAGATTTTCATGATCAATAACAATTATCGATATCAGCATTCATTAAAAATAAAATCACGCCCTAAAAACTAAATTAATAGACTAAAAAACAGTATGTCAGATGCATGCAAGAAATAAAAAAATAATAATAATAAACAAAACAAGAATCAAGCATTTCCTTGATTAAACGTTCCATTTAACAATGCCAAACATAACAAAAAAAAACAACAATAGAGTGGATCAAATGCGATCACATAGATCATTAATCGCTCAGTACAATATATATAAGATCTGCAAAAGCCCTAGAAGGCCAACACAAACCACAAACCATCCGATCTTTAGGAAGAGAGATAAAGGATCGAACACAAACCTAAAATAACAGTAGAAAGGATCACTTGGCGACCATGCGCAGGATGAAGTCCTCGTAACGGATGTTGCCGTCCGGCGACACATCAACCTCGCGGATCCACTCGTCAAACTCACTAGGCTCGAGTTTCTCGCCGATTGAGGTAAGGACGTGGCGGAGGTCGGCAACCGAAACGAAGCCTGTGGAATCCTTGTCGAGGACTTTGAAAGCGTCACGGAGTTGGCGATCAAAGGGCTCCGCTCGCAAGTGCTTCCGCATCAGTTCCAAGAAGCGGTTGAAGTCGAAGGGCGATGTCAGCCCCTCCTCAGCTGCGATTGCCTTCAGCTGGGCCTGCGTTGGGTTCCCGCCCAGCGAACGCATGAGGATTCCAAGCTCCGACGGTGCGATCCGGCCATCTCCGTCGGTGTCGAACAGCATGAAAGCCTCCCGCATGGATGCCACCTGCTCTTCCGTGAGATCCTTCCCCATTACTTTGATCTATTGCTCTCGCGCTCCTGATCACCCCCCTTCCCTCACCACGCACTCTTCTCTTTGGTTTCTTTCCCAACCCTATTGCTCCCTCTGTTCTGGCAAGACACGTTGTGGCAAAGAAAAATGTCCTGCCCTCTCAGTCCTCGTTTAAATTTAGGTGATTTCGGTTTCCGAAATTTCACGCGATGTACAAATATTTCATCCAGATTTTAAAATTGCAACAGATACCTTAAAATTAGATTTTTAAAATTTCTTAAAAGGGATAAATACATAAAACCCATCCCAAATGTTAATATTTGCAAACTACGTGACAGAGTAATTTTTTGAACTATGGTAGTGATGTATTTATGCTTGTGACCATCAAACCATTGAGAATTTGAAAATTTGATGAAAGAGGGTGATTGATTTATAAATAGCAAGTTTCGGGGTGGCCTATATGTAGTTGCACCATTTTAAAAATATATTAAAATTTTATTAAATATTGTTAAATTTTACATGTTTATAATTACAATATTAATTAAATGTCTTTTATGCTTTGGGCACCAATATGTATATATATATATATATATATATATAACAATAAAGAGAATTAAATGTTTTTTTGTTTTATTATTTAATAAATAAATGATTTATATTTGTTTGCAATATAAGTACATCTATGCAAATAATGAAGAATATGCCCAAATAATTAAGAGGAACCGTAAGTAATGTATCTTATTAATATTATAATCATAGTGTCATTATCATTACAAAATAGCCAAAATTGAGAATATTTAATTAACCTTACTTGTCATCTCAATCATGAAAGTCTCTAAACATGAATCAAGAAACCTTAAGAGGGTTATCATTCTCATATACCTAACACGTATATAATAGAAAGAACATTTAAGTTTATTATGACAAAAGATTCTTTCATTATACATTACTAATTATAGATCCATCAAGAGGTGTTAGATAAAAATCCAAAATTCTGAGAAGTCATTGATTACCCCAACCCTCATGTTTAATATTATTTTTATTATATCTTATATTATTCATAGTTTTATTATGTTTCATAATAATTAATAATTGATTGCTTAATGAAATGGCCCGCTTCTTTTATCATATTCTATCTTCACTTCTTCCTTCACATGTTAATCAAAAACATCAATTTTTATGATGTATGTGTTTTATGGATTCACCTATTAATTTGAGTAATTCAAAATATCTAATTTTGATTGAATTCAACTTATTTGTTCCTCTTACAAACCTATGATTTTGTTGGGTTTTAATTCTCTAAATTTCAACCCTCTTTTTACTAAATTCATTCATCTTGCTAGTGTTTATGTTATATTATCATGCTTAAAATTGCTTAAATATATCATGATTGTTGTTTTGCAAGCTTAATTGGGCTTTCTTAAATTATTTTGTAGAATTTATTAGTTGCATTTTTTTTTACTGAAGTACATATATTGTTTGTGATATTCAAACTAAAGTTTCTTTACATATTATGAATTCTTTATCCACTAAACCTATGCATAAATTCTCTTTATTGGAGATTTGATTCAAATTATTTTAAATTCAAATTTTTTGACTATTTTATAATCAAATAAATGCTTACTCAAATGATCATTAAGTGTGCTACTGATGTCAACTAAACTTCATGCTGAAGTTTTTATGTTGTCCCTCAACTTATGAATGTTAAAACAAGGAAATAAAAAGCCAAAATACATTGCAAATGACGTGTGAGAAAAAATACATAAGACATTGATATTTATGTGGATTGGCTTCAATTAGTTTTAGGTCTATGTGAGAGAAAGAAGTTCTAATCCACTGTGCACAAAAAGGTTATAAATAAGATAATCAAACTGAAGAAACTACATGACCAACGAGTCTCATGATTTTCGATTACAGCTTTTATGATTAGCAGGTTTTACAGATACCGTCTACAATATTCACGACTGACTACTGCCTCCATAGCAACCGAATATGACTTTCATTACTAAAATACTGTTATACATAACCTTTGTAATTTCATATTCACTGGTTCAAGAAAATAGAGGGTCTATGCACATATTATTACACGGTAGATTACTTCAACTAGATAAGACCCTGTGATTTTTTTTTCCTTTACAGGATTTTTCACATAAAAATCATGGTGTCTCCTCCCACAACTTCTCTTTTATTTGTATGTGTTGGATCTCCGCCCAATGCTAAGATGTTAATTTATTAATCTACCACACTGCAAATTTTTTTGGCATGCGTTAATTAATATTGATATTAATCTAATATAATTTATTCACATCTCTTTACTTCAAAGAAGTAATTTTTATTATTTGATTTTGATAAAGTTTACTTACAATTTATATATTATTTTATTCAAATAGTACAAAATACTTGAATACTAATTTAAAATTTATTTGATTGCTTATTTATTCAGATTGATAAAAATCTATCAATAATTGTTGTGACGGGAAATAGATATACCACTAGTTCTTGTGGTATATATATAAATCGAACAGGAGAACGATCGACGAAGCTAAAAATAGAACGAGAAAATTCACACTAGAAAATAGTAACACAACGGAACACACAGATTTATGTGCTTTGGCAAATTGCCTATGTCCATGGAGTTGCAGAGGATTTTACTACTTGAGAAATTTACACTAGTCGATCACCTCGGCTTACAAGAGCTTACAAGAGGAATCTCTCAATCTCTCACTTTGTTGCTCTCTCTTCTTCTTTCTCTGTTCTTCACTCTCTACACCGAAGAAACTCTACACAGAGATTCACCGAAGAAGATAAACTTATAAAAGAGATAAACCCAATTTATCTTCTGCCACAAGCCACTAAGAAGAAGTCAAGGGAGAACAATCTTCTTCTTCTTCTTTTCTCTTCCTTCACCGCAAGGAACTACAAGTGACACTTCTCTTTCTCTATCCAGAGGAAGCCCGAAGAAGAACTCAAAATCGTGACTTTTCTCTAAAGGAGAGTCGTGCGAACCTTTTATCCCGAAAAGAAAGCAAGAACAGTTGAGCGGGATGAAACGAAGCAAGGCTTAGCGGCAGACGCTGGCGCCTACAGTTCGCGAATTGACTCCAAGGGTAGCGGGTTGCGGCTGTTTCGCGATCGGGAGTGCGAGAGCAGGATCAGGAGGCATGGACCAGGCTCCAACGCTTAACAATCTCCCACTTGGAGACCGATACACTTGCTACAACATCTTCTTCCTCAAAATGATATCCTCCACTGTCAGTGTCGTCCTTTTCTTTAAACATGAATCCTCCACCGCTGTAACTCAAAGTCTTGTCTTCACTCCAGAAGACCAGCTGAAGCTTAGCACAACTTTAGTTTCTTAAGAATAACACCCTAGTAGTTAACATATCGGCAGGGTTCAATTAGCATTGCACCTCCAAGTTATTTCCTGAATTACTCGTCTCTACTTGCAACTCTCATTGCATGGGCAATATATTGCCTTTGTTGAAAGTCTTTTTCAATAAGTCTAGCATTATACCTTTTATTGTCATCATGCTCAGTCTTCACCTGGTACACCCACTTTGTTGTACATTGTCTTCTTCCCTGATGAAAGTTCTGTCAGCTTCCACTTGCTCAAACTTTCATCTTGCAATATTTATTCATTGTTCTGTGGTTCTCCACCATCTGTCTGTAGAACAATAGGAATGGGTGTCCTAGACTCACTCTCCTCTACACTTCCATCATCAACAAAACTATGAACTGCCAGCAATATTGCGTCATGTACTTCTTCAGATACCACATTTGCGCTATCATTCTACATTATCTTGGGATTCCTGCAATTTCTCTTTATGTGGTCAGCCTTGCCACAATTCCAACAGGTTATCTGCTGACCATACTTTGATTTTGATCTCCCTCTATTTGCGTTCATGTGATGTCATCTCTCTCTGAAATCAACATTCAGTGACGAACTCATACCCGAGATCTCGTCATAATCTTTCCTGCGCACCTCCTCAGCCAAAATCAAATAACGAATATCATAACATTTCATTTTAGATTTACATGCAAAACTACTAACAACCATCCTTATGACTTCCCAAATATTTGGCACGATGCCAACAATATCAGATCACGTATCTCATCATCAAACTCAATTTCAACAGACGATAATTGATTTGTGATAGTGTTGAAATTATTTATGTGTTGAGCAATTGAAACAAACGATAATTGATCATCAAACTATTTGGCAAAGATGTCAACAATCCAGCGCACATATCTCATCATCAAATTCAATTTCAACAGACGATAATTAATTTGTGATAGCGTTGAAATCATTTAGGCGTTGAGCAATAGAAACACTTTCCGTCATCTTCAAGTTGAATAATTTCTTCATCAAGTACACCTTGTTATCCGCCGATGGCTTTCCATACATACCTGATAAGACTGTCATAAGATCTACAGTCAATCTTTCATTGACGGCGTTGTGTGCAACGAACCATCCTTTCAAGTATTTTCAATACTATCAAAATTATTCAACTTGATTTCAACACTATCACAAATTGACCAAAATTATTCAACTTGATTTCAACACTATCACAAATCAACCTAGATGACTTTACTACTTGAGAAATTTACACCAGTTGATCACCTCGACTTACAAGAGGAATCTCTCACTTCGTTGCTCCCTTTTTTTCTATCTTCGTTCTTCTCTCTCTACACCAAGATACACCAAAGAAACTCTGCACCAAGATACACTGAAAAAACTCTACACCGAATACACCGAAGAAGATAAATTTACAAGAGAATTAAACTCAATTTATATTCTGCCACAAGCCACCGAGAAGAAGTCAAGTAAGAATATTTCTCAATGGTGCTACTCACATTTTGACTCTATCTTCTATGTAAATATACAGAGACTCTCTATTTCTGAAAAGATTTGTTTAATATCATTAGAAAGTTAGAAATTACATTAATATGAAGGTTATCTGCAGTAGTAATGTTTTTTTCTTCTTTGCCATGTTTAGATGGTATTTCTCTTTATGATAAATGTAGTGGAGTTATTCTTGAGTGATTTGGCTACCCATTTAACGCAACTCTTAAAATTTTCATTCATTAGAACAAATTGGCAATTTCTCCTACTTGTTCCGCTCCTATTGAATGTATTAATTTCATCACTCAGAACCTATTTACAATGT